TCTCGAAGCTGTGCGCAACATGCCGACAAAGAAGACTGCCTCGCTCGAACAACTTGAAGCTTATGTGAAGTTCATGACTCCTCGTATGGACTTACTGCTGGACTTTCGCATGCACAAGCCTTTTCGCAAGCTGAGATTCCGCCGCTACATTCTCGCGAAGAAGAAACTGCGTCAGCTTTGTCAGAGGTTGACTGCTCAAGCGGGAAGGAGAACGGTTGTTGGCTTCGGTGACTGGAGCAACACCGACGTGAGCGGGCTAATCAAAAAGTGTCCGGCGGGTCCAGTTAACTCATTCCGACGAGAGCTGAAGAAGCACTGTCGCGTGGAAACGATTGACGAGTTTCGAACAAGCAAGCTTCACTCGGTGTGTCATTGCAAAATGAAGAATCAGTACAGCAAGCGTCTATGCAAGAAGGATGGCGTCGAGCGTACATTGAAGGTCCACAGTGTACTCCATTGCACCAACAATGGCTGTCACGGTATGACTGTGAATCGAGACGAGAACGCTTTGAAGAACATGCTGATGCTTCTGATCGAGTGCAAGCTATGTGGTCAACCAAGACCACTCGCGTTTTCAAGACCAAGAACGTGAAAACAACGGCAAGTGTCCACGGGTGCCTCGATGCAGCAATGTGTCGAGGAGGCTCGTAGCAATCTCTCTAGGACAGCCTGCTCAGGCATTATTATCTTGTTTGCTCTATAGAGTAGGTAGGCGCCAATAAATTACGTTTAATATTTTCAGTAGTACGATCGCCAGTGGCCACGCATATTACATCATTTTAGAATTCAAACGCGTTCAAATGGCTGCTGGAATCGCCGCATTCAGCGACAAGATTCTGCCAGCTCGTAGTTTTGTTTGTTAAATTTCAGATTACTGCGCAGTAACTCGTATTTTCAACTAGAAACGAGACGAGACAACGGGGTAAGACAACGCGTCTTTACTTGCGCAAACTTTCATCCATCGTGTTGATCTATAGAAATTGTCACAGAGTGTTATTGATAAGTCTAAGAGAATGAGTCCAACCCACGTACCCAATCGACCTCCTTCTTAGCAGCATTCTCCAGCTTTCGCGAGAGATCAGCGATCTCATATTGGTGCAGTGCCAGCTCGTCTCGCAGCGATTCCACTGAGCGCCGCTCGTACTGCTTGATCTCGGCTTCGACTCCTTGTAGGCGTGATAATTTCGCTTCGAGTTGCTGGATTAGCGTCTTCTGCTGGCGGACTTTTTCCTGCAAGACAAGGTGCAGTGTTTTAAACCTTCTCCTCTTGCGGATTGTCAATTTACCACAAACCTTTTGGTGGATAGCACGACCCAGCGTTGCTGTTTGAGCTTCCATTCTGCGGCACAGGTCAGCGAGCTCATCGTCGTTCAGGACGTGCACGTGCTGTCCAGAACGAAAGACTTTTGACGGAGCGTCAGAGGTTGCAGATGTAGATTTTGCTACCTTTTCAGGGCTAGTGTAGAGCAGAAGTAAATTAGTGAATACATGCACCGATCAAATCAGACCGGAATGTTGGGACTACTGTTGGAGAAAATGTTGTTAGATGAAAAACCGATAGTGCTCAAGGTGTGCATACATTGTTCGTGAGATCTGTTGGCTGGCAGCTAGAATCTGCTTGTCTCCCTGCTGCTGACACTTGTCTTCGCCTGGACCGCGACCAGAAACTTCACGCGTGTATCCTTGTTCCTCGTCACGACCAATTTCCCTCTGATTGATACTGTCCGATGGTCTGTCACTCTGACCAGAGGTGGCGTCCTGGGAGGTGCTACTCCGAAACGTGGAGACATCGATATCGGTCGTCAACAGGTCCTGGATTTCAAGCATTATTGTTGCGAAGGCGTGGGTAGAGCAAAAGCGGAAGTGAGGACAAGCTGCATTTGTACCGATGCACCGCTCTGATGGATTGTCGTTAACTCTGAACAGGAAGTTGCAGCTCAATGTCTCACTGTGTGCACATGACGAATAACATGAGACGTTTTAGTAATATAGATCCTTGAACTTCTTTTTACCAAATCGATTTTTTTGTTTTACTGTTAACGCTACCGAGTCAAGAGTGCTATCTGTTCACTTTCGGATGTTATTCATTGCATTGATCTGCGTAGATTGAGAACGAAAAACAACACGTAAGTCATGAGAACACAAGGATCTAGGAAGTTTACAAAACTCACCCAGTCCAGTTCCTCCTGTGCTGCGGCCTGAACTTTATCCGAGAGGTCAGCCGCTTCATCCTTGTGAATTTTGAGCTCTCTCTCCAGCGACTCGGTTGAGCGTTGCTGGTATTGCTTCGTCTGAGCTTCCAGCTCTTGTAGACGTGCTAGCTCCGCCTGCAGTTCCAGAATCTGGGTCTTTTGCTGCCGAGCTTCTTGCTGCGCCAAAAATCTCTGTTACACTTCCGAGTTCGCGTTAACAATTCCAGCATCGATATCTCACCTTTTTGCGCTTCCGATAGCGACGCGACGCCGTTTGCATCCGCAGTTTGCGACGAAGTTCATCAAACTCGGCCGAGTTCATAACATGAACCCGTTGGCCAGTCGGTAAGACCTTCGACATTCCGACAGAAACGGATGCTCTTGGTTGTTGGTGGGGTGACATAGAACGCCGTGCTGTCGATTGTTGTGGGGCAAAAGCGGTAGCGGTAGGAGCTACAACCTGGGCCGGTATCGCTGGTAACGCTGCAGTAGGTGGCGGCAGATTCGGGGCACTCGCAGCTGCAGAAGAGCCAATTAAACCCAGATCTCCACCGAGGAAACCAAGCATTCCTGCGTTCCTATGTAAGGATAAACCAACCATAGAGTTAATGACGCTCATGGCGGTTGTAATAGCGAAGATTATTTACGCAAACTGTGGCGACCATGGAGATCGTTGATAAGGCGGTGACTTCGACTCCATCGGAAATGGTGGAGCTGCAGCTGGGCGAGTTGTACAAGACATAAGTGAACTGGACCTGAAATGATGAGCCACATTGGCGACAATGAGGCCAACACTAGTTAGAATATTCTAGGCTACAATACTACAGTCATGGCACTCCCTCCTTTCAGGAAAAGGATGTCAAATTAGCGCAAACAACACGACAGCATAGAGACAAGAGGTGCATACATTGAGTCCTGCATCCGCTGAACGAAGCCTAGAGTTGCTTGCTCCTGCTCCTCATCAGTTCTGTATCCTGCGGGGTATTTTTCCTCAAAGTTGTCGCCGCTAGACGGCAGGGTCACCAAATGAGACGATCCGCTTCGTGTTTGGTCACCGACATCCAGAAGAGTGCCCTGTACGTCGCCGTTATCACCATGATTGGTGTCTCCACTCACAGAGCTGTGGTTCGACCCAGTAATCGAGGAGTTGTGGCTGTCAGTGGTGACGCTGCTAGTTGTCGGCGAGGCCGATCTGTCTTGACTTGGGCTGTCCGAAGCCAGAAGCTCCAGCACCTCCACCATCATGGCGCGATCACTCGAGCTGGGGCCGAAAAGATGAGCTGGTTGCCGCCACGACATTGAAAGAAGAATGATAAAAGGGAAGTGGCTTACTGAATAAGTCAAATCTGGGACTCAGCGTCCCAAGTGAAAGGTGAAATTTTGGCCTTGTCATAGTCTCTTCACTTGGACATCACACAAGAAATATTGTTGCCAACACGAACGCACCGTCCCATATATCGGTGTCTCTTTGCCTCCGTATCATGTCGCTGGAGAGCTTTTTTTTAAGGAGGCCTACGTACCGCTCTTGTCATGACGAAGTTGCATAAGGCAACCAATTCCGCAAAGTCAATGAGATAGTCAAGCACGGCCGTTGCAACGTAGACCCCGCTGAATGCACCAATGTCGGGGATATCGGGGAGATAACACTTTGGTCATGACGATCTCGTCGTTTTTCAAGGTCTTTGGAACGAAAATGTGTTTCGTATGAAGTGCACGTCATGGTGCTTTGCATTATTGGGCTTAATTGGCAATACTTCTTGGTTAATGTAAAAAATAATAATAAAAAAAGAAGAAAGATTGTAACTACAGGTGTCTTGTATTAATGCCAGAGCCTTTGGTAGTGTCTTAAGTATTCTCTGCTAGAAAGACTACGTTCCAGCTTGCGCGATTAGGACGAGGTCATTCAGGTCGCTCTCTGCGTTCATCCCCCCAAAAACCAAGAGTCCTTGGCGTCGACTCTTCTCGGTTGTTTTCGATGGCTCCTGTATCCACACAGTGGTGCTACAATGTCCAAATCGCTCTGGAACCTCCGACGAAGACGGCTCTGCCTCCTTAGAGCCCACTGTCACCGGTATCCAAGACCCCTCATCATCGGAATAGCGACAACAGTCTCCGCAGATTCGTCTTCCGTCCCAGCCTCCAAAGGCGATCAGCTCGTTATTGACAACTCCAGCAGCTAAAGAGCAGCGATTCCATTCACAGATTGGCACGAGTTGCCACGTCCAGTTGCTTAAGTCGAGTGTAGCCATGTCTGTACAGACTTTTCCGTCGAAATTGCGACCTCCTGCAAAGCAGACTCTAGTTTCGGACAGATGCAGCGCATAATGGAGTTCTCGAGCCTCAGGGATTTCACCTTTAGCAGCGCATTTCTCCCATCGCAGAGGCTCATTATCATGAATTGGTACGTGGAGTAGAAAGAGATCGTTGGAGGCGCCATACTCAGGCGAGGATCCACCGTAGACAAGCATCTTTCGACCTGGTAACGCAATGGCGGCGTGTGCATTCCGCGGAAGAGGGGCATCACCTTCGGTTGTAGCCTTAGTCCACGTAGACGTCCGTGTATCGAAGATGTGGACGTCGTTGTAGATTTCCCTTTTTGCAGCATCGAGACCACCAAAAATGTAGAGTTTAGCTCCAATAGGGACTGTAGAGTGACCACTTCTCGGTGGTAAGCTACCGCTCGAAGGCTTGATGACTGTCCATCTACGTGTATCTACATAGAAGAATGCATTAGTCAAAACTTTTATTTAATTCTCTTGGTTGTTACTGTAAGTTTTACCCAAATCAAAGCAATGTACGTCGCCGAAGCTCTTTCCTTCTCGATTGGCACCTGCGATCAAATAAACTGCCCCTGTTTCGTCAATCTAAACACCGATTAAGGATTAATACTATGCGGTTACTTTGCAGTATAGCATCAAAATACCCGCGTCAAGGTCGCGCCTCCACGTGGCGCTGGTTTCCTCGTCGTCTTCCCCTCATCCAGCGATAAACTCTCAATCAGGTACACGCGTGGCGACTCAATAGTCTCCTCTTGATTCGACGACGCCATCAGCAAAGACTAACTGAAACAAGATCTAAAACCGAAGGGCCACAGCCTACTGCAACCGACTGCGACTTCTACCAAAATATTCGTTCTAAAAAAATAGAAGAGCATTTTTTTTAGCATTGAACGTTATGCTGTTATCTACCATCTCTTCTTTATCTCGTTGGTGGAGGAGGCGGTACCATACCCGTCGGAGGAGGTGGAGGCGGATAGGCCATCCCCATCGCTGCTGGTGGTGGAGGCGGTGGCACCATTCCCATGCTCATATACCCCATTGCACTCTGGTCAAAGTGTGGAGGTGGAGGAGGTGCGTCCATTCCTGGAGCAGCTCCAGCTGTAAAGGCGAACATCGTGTGAGGCTTGAGTTTATTGGGATTTCTCTGAGCCAACAGCCTTTCAGCCTCCGAGCCGTGGCGTTCATTGTGACTGTCCTTCTTGAAGGCATATTGTACTACCACCTGTCGGTTGCAAAGGTACTGGCCGTGCATACACTCAATAGCCAAGTCGGCAGCCTCGAATGAATCGAAGCTGACGAATCCAAACCCTTTACTGGCCTTGGTGTCTGGGTCACGCATGATTTTGGGGGTCTCGACGATGCCTCCAAAGGCAGAAAAGGTGTCGTACAGCAACTTCTCGTCCACTTCTGGGTCCAAATTGCCAATAAACAAGTTGGCGCCCACGTCCAGATTCTTCCTGTCATTCGACGCCTTCTTCACGCGGATCACGCGTCCATACAGTTGGATCATATTGAGCACTTTGACGGCGTACTCGGCGCACTCCTCGGTGCGGAATTCCACGAAGCCATAGTTCTGGTGCGCGCCTGTGACCTTATCGCGAGGCATGTGTACGTTGCATACACTACCGGCTTGGAGCATCAACTCCCATAGAAGCTCCTCCGTCACGCGGTCGTCCAGGTTGCCCACGTACACCGTCGCGTCCTGGTTGCGCTGCTCGATGGCTGCCGACATGGTGACGAATGACTTATGAAAAGAGATATTCGTGTGGTAGACATAAAGATGATGAGGAAGCCATTATATAGTGCACAAAAGTTAGTCCACTATTTCAGAACGTCTATTTTAGTACTTTCTAGAATTTGTTAGATTTTTGTCCGTAAACCAGAAGTTTGGAAATTCGCGCAGTATTTCGATACTCACGGTACTTGCCACTTCAACGCTTGTTAGAACGATTTCGAATGTCGTTCCGTCATAACTTCTGATTCCGCATTTTTTGTCTGCAAATTATCTAGCATCTTCTTCATAAGACTCGGACATTATTGGCTTATAAAAGACTACCTTTTGCACGCACAGGTTCTCTAAAATGGGTAAGCACTTTTGAGTTTCTTCATGAACACGCCATCCTTCATCGGCATCTTAAGTAGTGCCGCATTGAGCGGCGTCTCATCCCAATCTGTATTGTTTAGATAACTCCGGGCGAGATCCGAGAGCTGGTTCCAAGTGATGAGGTCTTGAAACTCGCCTGTCTCGTCGGTGTACTTCACCGCGGTGTTGCCGTAGATGTGGTTGTAGTAGTAGGCCACCTTCAAGCTGTTGCCATCCAGGTACTTCTCCGGCGGAGGGGCTTCTTTCGCCCAACCAGCTGCAGCTGATACGGACACGCCGAGAATGGTTGAGTTATCAGCGTTGGGTTTGTCTAGCCACACGATGGCGTATTCCCAGCCGTGGCGGTGGCCGAGGAAACGAAGGACCGGGAACGGAGCACGCGCCTTAGGGAAAAACCAGGCGTACATGATGGCCCACTTGTCCTTGACCCACGTTGTCCGAGCGTAGACTTGAGAATCCAACCTTTGCATTCGCCGTCTTGAGAACCACTCCAACTGAGACCACCACTAGTAGCGCCATCCTTCTGGACTGCCGGGTACGGGTGACAACCGTCCTCAATCTTGAGTTGGGGCTTGTAGTTGAGAACAGCCTTTTGGGCATCGGTGACGGGGATTTGTTGTGGAAACGGTCGAACCTCGCCGTGCAGGATGACATTGTTCAGTCGTAGAGACCAGGAACTGGTCTTCGTTCTCAACTCGCCTGCCACTACTATTTATCTTCAGGAATAAATACCTACAGATGTCTCGATAGATGTTTCTCAAGTTCTAGCTACTTTTTACCGTTAAGATAAATTCTTTGTAGCTACTTCTACATGTATATGATTAGGTAAGTAGACACCCACAATGTAATCTGAATCCGAATGGTAGTTACCGCCGTGCATAAGCCAAAGATGTCTGTACATACTGCGAAAAAAAAAAACAATGTCATCGTCGGGTATTATCAAACGGAATCTATACATGTATTTTGGGAAAGGGATTCTATTTGGGTGGGGCTTATAATCTGACGTGTACGCTAATTTGGCATCTTCAAGGTACTCAACATCATTACAGCCAATCACATCCGCGATCTTGATTGACACGACCGTTCTTCGCTATTCTTCAAAAGACCACCAGAACGTCTGAGATCTGGACTACGATGGAGCTCGTCGCGCGCGTTCTAGCCCACGTACGTGTATACAACGTAGATCACTAGACACGGAAGAGCTCGCTCAAAGAAATTTAGCACGCGGCAGCTTCAACCGTTGAAGTTGAAAAGTCTAATATCTCATCTGTGCATCATTCTGTATTTATTTTGAAGAGCCTGCCGGTGCTGGTGGTGATTCTCGTCGGCTATTGGATGGGGAGTGGACTCACAGCCTACGCAGTGACAGACGGCATAGTGACTGCTAAAGACACGTCAGGATTTTCATGGAGTCACGGAGACGCACGTGTGTTTAACTGGCACCCGCTGCTCATGAGCTTCGGCTTCGTCTTCTGCTCGATGCAAGCAGCACTGGCTTACATCTCATTGCCCTTCAGCCACGCAGTTAACAAGCGTATCCACTTGTCGCTGCATGCTCTGGGCTTCCTGAGTGCAGTACTGGGCGCTGTGGCTGTCTTCCGCTTTCACAACGAGCATAGCATCACCAATCTCTACAGTCTTCACAGTTGGCTCGGACTCGGTGTCTTGATCCTGTTCTCCGCCCACGTATGTGCATTTTTATTGTAGATTAGTGATTGATTCTATTGCTTACTGACACCTCTCTATTTAGTGGTTGGGCAGCTTTATTGTGTTTTTCTATCCTGGTGCCGAGAAGAACGTTCGTGCGTCTATCGCTCCGTATCACATTGGAATCGGATTGTCGATTATTGGACTCGTAGTCGCGACTATCGAAGCCGGTATCTTGGAGAAACTCGCGTTCAACGGGAGCTGCAATGTCAACGGCGAGCTGAACGGGAAGACTGTGAAGGGCTACATGACGTCGGATTGTGTTCTGGGTAACGTCATCGGCTTGTTGGTGGCATTGAGTCTAGTGGCGCTGGTCGTCACGATCTGGCATGCGAAGCACCAGGAACCAGCGAAGCAGGTGGGGGACGAAGCCACTCCATTGTTACTGGGCAGCTCGGGTGATGAAAAGACTGAGATCTCTGTCTGAATGTCTTCAAAGGACAAAGCGCAGTTCTCCATCGGACTTACTGTGCATCACAGTTTACATTAGTCCAGTCAAGTAGACAGTGGACCAATAACACGGTGTTTTAGGCAATATCCGGGTTATTTGCTGCTTTATCCGTCAAGGTCAATAGTTGAATTGGACGGCGTAATTAACTCCTAAGTGTACACACACGTTATTAGTAGAGTTAAGGTGAAATGAGCAATTTTGCTTACCATAGTGCATCAGCGGCATGTGTAAGATGAATACAGTCCATACAAAGAGATGACCTTGTACAGTACACATCTGAGTCTCTAGTACAAATGCGAGTTGATAAAGTGGGGAAATTCCAAATTTCCGTTTGAGAATGAAGAGAAGACCAACGAATCCGGTCATCTCGACCGCTCCGAACATTAAAATGTTGATAACATCATTCCTCAACTTCTCGGGGGTCGATGACGCTGTTTGTGGGTAGTAAGGAGCCGCTGGTAGCTCAAAAAGAATCGGTAAGTATATTGCGTACAGAAGTGGCAAGATACACTCGATATACTCCGTCATAAGGAGGTATTCGGAATGAAAGAGTGCCTGGAGTGCGTCACAAGCAGCCTCTTTTGTTGTGACACTCTTCATAGTGGCCTTAGCTGACGGGAGTGTGTCTGGCTGCATCAGTGTGAGAAGTCTGGAGGGACCGGTTGTACGCACTTGCGATGCATTCAAAGCTGGAATTTTCTGTTGGTTTCTTGAAATATTTTCTAAGAACGCACGACTTTCGTCCGCTAGTGGTAATGGAAATGGTGCAGACACTCGAATTCGATAGCCATGCGCCAATGTCTTTGGAGTTTTGAATACTTTGCGTAGCATAACTGGTAAATCTTCCACGTAATTTATTGAGCATGATGTTCCAGGTGTGATGACGTTAGCTTGGCGAAAAATACCCCGAAGAGCGACGAGCACATGGAAGCCGTCTGAGGCGATGATAAGTAAAGTTGTGAGCATTGTCTTTGATATTTGCATGCAAATTGCAACGTAGAAGACGTTAAAAACATCGACCGAGAAGACCACGATTGGACCGACGTATTCATGAAGACCTCCAGCTGCATTGGCAATAATAATTTTGGTGATGTGCTTGAACAAGGGAATCACGATGATGAATACAGTTTGCTGGGGTCCTGAGAGTCGATAGAAGATCGCAGTGAAAATTGGATACGCCATTGCCACTGATCCTTGAGCAAAAATTACCGTGGCTTGCGCTTTGATCTGCTGGCGAAGAATTGGCGACTCGTTAAGTCGCTGCCTTCCAATGACCAGCAACGTAAAGCTCAAGACAATCAGCAGATACGGTCCCACCATTAAAATGTATCCAAACGGAATCGGGAATTGCCACAACACTGCTAGAACAAACGCCACAGATACATCTACAATGGAAGTTCCCAACGTAATAACAGCAGCTCCAGTGTTGGAGATGACCCCTGGTAAAATGGCTTCGCGGACTTGTAAAGCGACACCAAACGAGACGGCGACTAGAGCCAAGAACCAGCGGAACCAGAAGGCGTAATTTGCTTGCCAACCCTCGGATGGGGATTTTAATGGAGTGCAATCGATTAGAAGCGTCACTGTAATTGCAGGAATTGGAGTTAAGATACAAATAGCGACGACACGAGTGATGGAGGTGCGCTTGTAATAGTCTCGAAATGCCAGAAGACGCTCGACGGAGTACTCGCTCCGGTGTCCAATTTGGCTTTGACGCCATAAATTTACGAACCAGAGAAATGCTTCTTCACATTTACTTGCATTCACCGCTTGCTCTTGATCATGATGTGTATCTGGTTGGACCCTCATCGAAGCGCGTCAGCCTCGTGGACTCTTACGACGAGACGTACATTTGACGTTACCTCCGGCCCAGAACGCACGGCTCGGCTAACTATGGCCTGGTCAGACCAGCCATTCTGGTCTCAAGTGTTGAAATTATTTTTTCCGGTCCTCCTCCTTGAACAGAAAATTCGTTTAAAAAATAGCATGAAACGATAGTTGTAAAAAAGAAAAGTATAGGAACGTAATATGAATAAAGGTATTACAACGCGTTTATGACCGAGTTGACACTTCTCAGTAGCTGTGGCAGTACCAGACGAAGCTCTTGCTGGTTATTGGATGAGTCGGTTATATCCTTGTCTTCTGTTGGTTCACTGTCTTCTTTGCTACTTCCGTTCTTTGCTGGCTGGTTATCGCTGATAGCTCCTAGAACTTCTTCAATAGTTCGGCGTAGATTCATCGCATCGGAAGTGAAAATTTCCACACTTACTGCCTTGATGTCCTTGGACAGTAGCAGGTTGTAGAGCGCTTTACTTGCGATGAGTGTCATATCCAGGTCATCCACCGCAGCACACTCGACGATTCCAACCAGTAGACTGCGGACATCAACGTCATCGTTGTCAACCATGGGACGAACAGATAGTAAAGCCTGACGCGTCTTGTGGTCAAGAGCAGCGTTCATCAAGACGCCACACACTGTGTATACGACTTCACGGTTGCTGTGGTTAAGCAGAACGACAAGACATTCCAGCACCTTGAGGTCATCCATGTACTCCAACACATCTTTAAACCGCGACAAGTTTCCGTAAGCTCTGGCAGCTTCTACCACCGCTTCTTCGTTCCTGTCCAATAGAATTCGAGCCAGGAGCTGCGTGATGACAACGCGGCTGCTTTCAATGAAGCAGTAGTCGTTGCTTTGGGCTGATCCCTTCGAGTCACTGGCGGTTGCTGTGCTGTAGTACGACACGTTAGTGATACAGCTTACGGTATTCAGCATTAGCTCTTCATCTCCCACTCGTTGTGATACTTCCAGGATGTCCAGTAAAGGTGTCAGAGCTTCGTATCCGTTGAGTTGAGCACCCACGTCTGCGTTGATTGCTAGGTTTGCAACCACGCGGACGAGTTTGATCAACACTTCCATCGCCTGGTCTCCGTCTACAGTGTAACGACGCTTTTCTTTCTCGTCTTTGGTCTCTGAGTTCCGAGCGTTCGAGTAGCGAGCAGTGTACAACTTTAACACTTTCAGTATAATTGAAATCCCGGAATTTGTGGCGATCAAACGCCGATTCTGATCGTTACCGGCACACAAATTGCCGAGTACGAAGAAGATGCGGACGAAGAGTAAGTCTTGGAATCGCGTGTCTGAGTGCTGTTGATCCGTGATTGAAAGCCACGAGTTTTGACGAGGGTCGATGAGTGTCATGAGGTTGTGTAGATTGGTGGCGTTCTGGTTGATTTGAGCTCGTGGAAGCTCGTGGAGCGTGAGTTTACTCAAGATACGCGAGATGTTTACCATAAGTTCTTGGTGGGATATGAATGCAGGGATCATTCCGCACACTCGTAGAGGGATGTGAGCTTCGAGGAATTGTTTGTGGTTACTTTTCGCGACGGATAAATTGCGTAGGATACCGGTAGTTTGGATCAGTAACTGCGCGATCTCCTTGCTTGTAGCTGCATCTTCAGAGCGCCACAACATGGTCTCGCCTAGAATGGCAATCGCACGGTTAGTTGCCAATAAGCGAGTCATCTTGTCCTCAGCATTCGAGATGTTTTTCAGTGTTCCAGTCGCGTAAATCAATGCCTTCATGGGAATTTTCTGCTGTGAAGAGAGGGTTACAGCGTCATCACTATCGTTAGTGTTCTTGTCGTTCTGACATCCTGAAGACTGGTTGCTAGTGTCGGTAATAGCGTGAAGTATTGCCTCCACATAGCGAACGTTGCAAAAACTGCCATCGTTACCGCTGTCCTTACTGAGGACAAACAGGATCTTACCCAGTTTGATAATCTGTGCACTGGTCCCATCGCTGTCATCACTGCAGCTACTGTACAGAGCCAAAAGGGAAGGCGCAAGCTCCAACACGCAGTCGGCATTAGTCGCCCAGGTTTCGAGCAGCACGTTGGAGAGTTTGTCGAAGAGCCGAACGCAAAGAATCGCGGTTGCGGCTTCTGCCGGGTCTTGAATTTTGTTGCCAGCTTGAAGAAACGAGCTGAGACCCACAAAATTGTCCACTAATTCACGCAATTGGCCAACTTTGGTGATAAAATGTGGCGATTCTGTTTGACCAAGTAAGTCACTGATACAGCGCTCAATTCCGTCGTAAGATTGGAGCAGCTCCTCCTATAACAGCAACGTTAGATCAAGTACGTAGTACAAAGTTGAAGAGTCTTACATTCGAGGGAAGACTTAGAGAGGCCTCCGGATCAAACTGTGTCCCCACTGTCGCTTGGATGTCGTCACTAGCAGTCGATAACTCGACTTCGGACTCGTCATCTGACAGAATTGGGGCGTGTACCAGCTTGAGGCTACTAGATGAGGCTGATATAGACTTTTCAATTGGCTTAACCGTTGCTAGAGGTCGAGCCTTGAGTCCACTTGGTCGTGGTGGAAGTTTTGTGGGCATTGGTACTAATGGCGTTCGTTGCTGCTGCGTCCTCTGCTGAGCCATTTGATTGAGCTCTGCCGCTGTGTATGAAGAGCTTGGACGCGATCCTGGACGATAATCATCTCCGTGGAAAAGCGGACGACTCGAAGACTGCGGTGTGAATGGGCGTGATGGGTTTTTGAGCGAAGCTCGGGCCTGTTGAGAGCAGAGTCAAGTGGATGCTACAACCTCCTCTTCCTGTTTAAGTTATGGCAACGCTGTTACCTGTGATAAAACGTGGGAGATCCCTCCTCGAGCGATGCATGCGTCCATCGTAAGACACTGTGTTAGCTCTTCTTGGAGTTTGAATGTAGCCATGTTTATTCGCGTCGTTTCGTGCTCAAATTTAGCACATCTTGAAGTTGTTTCTTGAATGTGGCCATATAATGCTCAAACTGAACTAAACGCCAGACTCACGCTGGTTGTAAACGTGCGCTGGGAAGTAATAGTGCTGCTGAAAACACTGATCTCCTGTAATGAACTCCTAACGCACAAGATTGCTGGACACCTTTTTTTAAATGTATGTGTTTCGTGTAACTTCGTAGCACATTTTTTAGTAGCCACCAATACAGGACCTTTTCAGCTCAAAAAAACAATAACGCCTAATTTGCTGCAATAGCTGCTGCGTTTAAGTACTGAAGCTCCGCGCGGTCGTTTCTTGTGCTCAAGCTGACATGTTGGTCACGCAGAGTTACCGCTCTGATGCAACATTTGATGAGATGAACGTCTCCAACTTCATCATTCTTATCCATTACTTTATCCTTTACAAATGCCTAGTTTACACCCCTACTTCAGTCAAATTGCAAACACAATCGACCAAAATCAGGTACTTTAGCTTGTTACAAAACATCGATTTTTACCTCCACAATTGTCCGTCGCATTCCTCCGTTTCGTGTTCAGTCCGCATTACGATCCGCCGTAGCATGACGGAGGCGGATTCCGAGGCTGCGCGGCAGCGGCGCCAGCTGGCGTACGCGCTGCAGGCGCTCAAGCTGTACAACCCGGACTTCGCTCTGACTCCTGAAGTGCTGGAGATCATGCGTGCCTTCTTCGCAGACTTGCGGCCAGATGCGAATGGGACGATCACTCGTGGAGCCCTAGCGGACGAGATTGCGCGTTTGGACTCGAGTGCAGACACTATCCGCCGCCTAAGAAACGATATGGCAAAGAGGGAGGAGCGACTGGACTTCGCTGCTTTCTGCGATTACGTCATGCGCTGGAAAGCTCAGAGTCCCCAGGCTGTACAAGCCGTGTATACTTCATGGGCGGCTCAGATCGCAGCCATTGACTTTGACATGAACGACAATTTATTTCTAGACCTCAAGCCAGAGGATGAACCACCGAACGAAACGCTGACGCTCGAGATCATGCAGTTGCTGCGGCAAAGGCGGAAGTTGCACGAAGGTGGGGTTAAAGTCAACTATGAGGACTATGAGGCGTCAATTGCCGGATACGGACTCCATCCGGATGATTCCTTCAATGTGGACGCAAAGGAGGACAAAGTGACGAGTATGAAGCTGAACCACGCAGATGCAGCTGACGAGGCTGAGAAGAAAGGGTCCATTATGACAATTTCCAAGTCGTTTATTGCTGGGGGGATGGCAGGTATCGTCGCCAAGTCGGTGTTGGCTCCACTGGATCGAGTGAAAATTCTATTCCAGGTGAACCATCAGGAGAAATTCAATTTTCGCAATGCCGCCAGGATGGCCAGGAATATCTACGTGCAGGACGGATTTCACGCGCTGTTTCGAGGGAATATGCTCAATATTCTGAGGGTTATTCCCTATGCGGGACTGCAGCATTCAGGTTTCGACTTTTTCCGGAATAAATTCCACGCATACAATTATAGGAAAGCAGAGAGAGAGGGAAGTGACGAGATGCCCAAGCTTAGTAATTTGCAGTTGGTCACAGCCGGATCGCTGGCTGGAGGACTGTCGTTAGTGGTGGCGTATCCGCTGGATATCGTACGGGCGAGATATATGGTACAGATGGGCAAGCAGCGATACACCAGTATTTACGAAGCTGTGGTCACGATGTACAAGGTGGATGGATTGAGGTCGTTCTCAAGAGGAATTGTGCCGTCACTCTTAGGCACTTTACCGTACACAGGCATTGGATTCTCACTCAATGAGCGTTTCAAGATATGGGTATGTATGCGCTTATAACTAGTGTATGAGTTGTAGCTGTGTATGACTTACAGGTTGTGTTGAATTTGTATTGGTAGACGCTTGAGTTGCAGCGTCGGCGGCTGGAGCGAAAGTACGGCGCAGACGCGCCAGAGCTGAGTCTGAACCCGCTGACCAAGTTCGTGTGCTCGTATTTTGCAGCGTGTATTGCACAAACGAGTACGTGTGTCGTGCTTGAATTGGACACCGGCAAGCAACTCAGGGTTCTTGTTGGTTTTGTTGTTAGGCACATACCCCATGGATACTATTAGAAGACGAATCCAGACTGACGGCTACGTATCAGGATCCAAAGGGAAAATTCAGTACACGGGTGTCATTGCCACTGCACGAATTATTTTGGCACGAGAAGGCTGGCGGGGTCTTTTCAAGGGCGTGTCAGTAAACTGGATGCGGGTATGTATTAACTCCTTCTATTGATGTGTGGCCCTCCTGGGACGGTTCTGCTAACTTTTGTATATCTGTGCAGAGCCCTGTATCTACCGGCATCAGCTTAACGGCGTACGATATCCTGAAGGAGGTATTAGGCGTCGAAAAGATAGAATAATAAAAGCGTGACGCAGTTGCCACTGGTAATTGGCAGTGACCACGCAGCATGTTCAAGATTGGCTCTGGACTTTTAATGGCGTCTTCAACGAGTCCGAAATTCCTTCGTCTTCAACAGCCACCCGAACTGCTTGTGCTCGATTGCTACCGATGCAATACACACAGCTCCAAGTGAACCTCAGGATGTTGTTTGTCCACCAGTGTCAGCACGTCGCGTGTCTTCGTCACTAGCAAGAAGAAAAGCCACCGAGAGCTTGTCGACGTGTGTGGTGGTGGAGCGAGGGCAACTCAGCTCCGTCTCGGTTCGGTCACAGCTACGGCGGTCGAAGCAACTATGGCGGTAGCAGCAACAGTTGGTTCCAGTTTGACTCGATGCAGTTGCCGGTAGACCTCCACGAACTTGACCAAAGGAGTCGATATTGGCCGATTCCAAGATGTTCGCCACGTCTCGGTAGTTTCGAATCACTGCATAGAGTCCAACCACGAAGTCGATAGTGGGGTCATAGCGGCAGACTTTACCATGCTCGTCAAACTGAAATAAGACATGCATCGGCAGCCATAGCGTAGGACTTTGCAGTAGTCTGTCTCGTAAACTCGTGTTGGTGAGGGTATAAGGGAAAACCATGGCCAAGCTCCGACATGTCAATCGAATGACTAGCAGTGCGCTCACGCACCCGACTGTCACGTCATGATCCAAGAAGATCACTCTGAATTCGTTGTGCTCCAACATGGGTGGGGCATCGTTAAAAACAAGTGCGAAATTCGACCACTGCTCGAGTATACGATCACGTCCAATAAAGTCCCCGAACAGGACGTCGCTGCGCATTGCTGATTCGAGAAATCTCCTCTGTTCGTCGTGTTCGCCTGACTCGAATGTCTTCATGGTTTTGTGCATACACGAAATACCATCCAACGCCTTCATTGTGCTCCGTTGAGTTGGCGTACCAATCAATAGGTCGTCATAGAATCGGGCTCTCTGGAGATTAACTATTTCCTGATCCACATCCAACCGGAGCCGCTTGACAGAAGCCTCAAGATGATCAACATATTGCCGCTTCTTCTCCAGGTAACGTTGCTGCCGCCGATAGCGAGCGTTAATTGTTGCTCGCTGATCCGGCTCGGATAGCTCGGTTGAGTCAGGTTTATCGTCATTTTGGCGTGTTTCGGGGAATTGGCGTATCAGGGAGTTGGTCATTGTTGCAAAGTAATCCGACAATGACTCGCGTTCGCCTTGGTCAGGGTATGATCCTTCCTCACGCTGTCGCAGATACCACATCTCGCGCGTTTTTGATACAAGTCGGCCGCCGTTTAGTCCGCCAGAACGGCTCCATGAACAAACAATATTGGCCCGCAGGCAGGTCCTCGCGCTGTCGCAGATACCACATCTCGCGCGTTTTTGATACAAGTCGTCCGCCGTTTAGTCAGCCACAGAACGGCTCCAAGAACAATACTGAAAACCTTTGGTAGTACAACTTGAGGCGCGGTACAGAGACTTGAATCGTGAGCGCAAGCCAATTACGCATACAGCACTCGCCTTCCGGTCATCATGTTTATACAGCAGCGCTATGTTCCAAGTGAACCAAGTTGAACCCTGTTGCAACCGCACGTCCCAAGTTGCAGTATGTGTCCCATCGCACAAGTATTGATGGCGAAGTAAACTTAATGTCATCGTCGTCTCGCTGGATCTTGCCTCGAATTTAAAGCAAACGAGCGTCAACATGAGCAGATGCATAAAGGCGAAGTTCGAAGCTCCAGTCCTGGGGCTCAAAAGTGGATGGAAGTACAATGTACCAACCAGGAGGAAACCTTCGTGAAGCTTTTGCCAGGGCACCACTGGGCGCACCGCTCACATACACACCTCCCGCCGACGTGGCGCCTGCAAACGCTTGTTTGGGATTTGTTGAAAGTAGTAGATCTCCTTCCGACGTACTCTCGAATACGGACACGTTTATAGACGGAGGAGGCAAGGACTCTTCTTCGGTTGGAGACTCCCCGGCTGCTGCATCTACCTCCGGATCAAGGACTACCAAGCGAGCTAGGATATCGCATTCCTGCGTGACATGCACCAAATATTTGGGATTGAACGTGTAGCAGCCGTAATTGGAACACCCTGCAGCTGACCCGGTCTGCATATCCCACTTGCCTCGAAGCCTTGTCAGCTCCATGCCGTGGCCTTCAGCAGGGATCTGGCGGTAAGCAATACTGGCTCCTGCAGGTGGATCACTTACAACGCGCAGAGTGAACTTACCCAGAACGCCTTGCTCAAAGGTGGACGGGATCAGCACAACGTCGTGTAAACCGGACGCCAAAACAGCTGAGTCTACCTCAATGAAGCAAAATCCTGGACGGTACTCACCAGAACTGAGCACCTTCAGTTGTTCCTCGTCATTTCCTGCAGCATGCAATCCACAAACTCGCTCACGTGTGTGCAATGCTGCACGCAGATTGATCGGAAAACTCGCGGTGGTCGTATCTTGGGAGAAGAAGGCTTCGGTCTCGAGAAACAGGAAGAGCGATCGGCATGGCTTCTGCAGCTGCAAGTGAAACTGTGGGTTGTTCATGAACGTTGAGTAAAATGGGCGCCCACCAGCACAAGCCGAGTCCCAGGCACCCGGAATCACTATAGATGTCGGCGCTCTTGTCACAAACTGCGGGTTTGGCTCACACGTAAACGGGCGGGTCGAAAAAACTGATAGTGTGTAGTCGAGAGCTGCAAATTTCTCGTACTGCGACGCCACAAGCGTGAAACATCGCTCGGAGTCATCTGCTAAATCCAGATCCAGGCTCACGAGTGTGTGTGGGTTGTTGCTGTACATTCCTCGTGATACAGCGCGGTGGTTATAGAACACACGCTTTCCAGGTGTGCCGCGATAAACATGTAGTGTTAAAAACTGCTGATTCGAGTAGTCCGTGTCGCGTTCGATGAGGCTTACATGCCGTGACAGCAGAACCCACACGGTACATGATCCAGCAGCGGCGGTAGCTCCTTCTTGCGATGGTGCGGTTTTGCAGAATGTGAGGGAGTACTGCGGGTTAAATCCAAGAGTGAGGGAATCGTTCACGGGTCCTAGCTCAACAGGCCAGTGCTCGTGGAAAACTCCCTTGTACGGGAAGAGTTCAGGGTTCCAGTTCATATACAAACTCTCGAAGTACTGCTTCACCGACTCAAAGTCAATCCAGAACAAGCCATCGTCCTTCTGGCCACTTGCTTCCTCTGACTCAGTCGCTTCGGATGCGTAGAACTGGCGCTGGTATGCACGTAGCTCGTCACCAATAGCGCTATCCCATCGGGTCTTGTCGTGACGAGAGTATGGCCCCTTCCAGCTCATCTTTCGCCATGGATTTTTCACCTGCAGTAACCGTACCTTCTTGCCTTCTTGAGACGAGTCTGAAGTATTGCTAAGCTCGTAAACATTGAGCACAGCGTAGACGTGCATGGGAACGAGTCCGATCGCTTTGGCCTCCTGCTTCGTGATATCTCCAGTGGACATTGTGATGATGCAATCTCCATAGTGGAACGCGCTTTTAAGCTGTTCCCACAGTCGTTCTTCCTTGTTTGGTGCGTCAATAAGTTCAGAAACAGGAACACGTTCCGGAATCCACCCCGTAAGAGCAAACAGATCAATCCCTGAATTCCCTCCAGGGAAATCGTAGCCTCCGTTCAGCTTCAAATAAGCCTTTTCGATGAGACTCACCCAAAGTTCGTTCTTGCGAGTGGTGCAGCTTGACAGAAGCTGTCCGGAAGAAGCATTAACCGGCAACAAGTCGTCAATAACGACTTTGCGAGGCACACCGTTTGCCCACAACTTGACCACGTACTTCCCGAAAGGATTATACACCGGCTGCTTCGTCCTTGGATCGGCAGGGAAAATAATGTTCGTGATGAGATGCTTCTGGAATCTCTGCTCATAGGCTGCTGCAATACATAGCGACGCGACAAACGAACAGTCCGTGACGATATCCTGCTTCACCACCAATGGGTTAACTCCTCCCTGTGCGATCATCACAGGTGCATGGCCGCATATTGCCGCATAGTCGCTCGGTCTCATCCACGTCGCCTCCTTCTTCTTCTGCTTGGCCGACAATGGCACGTGTCCGTCTGGATCTTCAAAAGGCTCCGGCAAACTAAACTTCTCCTGCGCATCTAGATCATCCAGCCACGGCACGAACAGATGGCCGTTGATCTGCGACGATCTACGTAGCACGTCCAGCTCCTGTGGTGTATACGCCGCCCCCGGTTTCTCCTCCTTCGTCTGCTCGACTTCTGGTGCTGGTTTCGCTGCAGGCATCGCAGCCGACGCGTACGCAGGCGTGACGTGTGCAGTTTTGTGCTGTAGCATTGGCGGCTCTGGCCACTGCAGCGCCGCGACGTCCACGTCGTTGCTGTTGTCTTCAACCTGTTGCTGGATCTGATGCCGAGTCGTCTGGGTCTGAGCCTTGAGCTGAGATACATAATCGATGACGTACTCGAGCTGCTCTTTAATCGCCGCTCTGGCCGCCACTTCGCTCGTCGGTAGGGCGTTCAGCGCCTGCATGTAGGTCTCCGCGGCGGCGATGTACCTGTCTATGACGATATCAGTCTTGGTAGAATCTGATTTCTCGGCCTCTCTGGCCGCTGCGTGCTGTTCCATGGCGTGAGCAAGCAGGTAGTCGCTCGACTTCTGCAGCTCCGACACACGCGTCGTCAGCTCGGCGATTGTGGGTTGCAACCGCGCACGCTGCGCCGCCGACTCGATCACCGCGAGCCGCTTGAGGATGCGCAGCGCCTGCAGGAAGAACGGGACGGCCTTCGCCGCCTGACCCGCCCGTTCGAAGCTCTGCGCCTGTTCGGTCGCCGCCAGCGCCTCGGCGTACTGCCGCTCCGCCATGTTGGCACTGATCTGTTGCGGATTATGTGTTGAATTGATTGAGGCGAAATGGTGTATTGTACATCAGATGATAGGATTGGATGAAATTAAAATGAGTAATTGGGATTGGTGGAAAATCATCGTGCGGCCACCGACGCATTTCCGAGGGTGCAGGACAGCAGGACAACTAGGAACAGCATCAACCATGAGCGGCAAGGAAGCGTGGAAGCCCTTTGTCAAGTTCGAGTACCAGAACCTGCTGCCGGCGGAGCTGCGCAACAAGGTGCGTATGCGTTTGTTTGGCTAGGAAGAAGCCCATTTCTTTCTATGCTAACGTTGTATCATTGCTGGCAGCTCCGCAAGATGCTCGTCTTCACGGAGGCTACGGGCACCAAGCAGGTGAACCAGTCGCCGGCTGTGTCCCAGGGCTACCGCTACCCGTCGCCAGACAAGCAGGCCGAGGGTGTGTCTGTGCCGTCCAGCGACTCCAAGGAAAGCATCTACAATATCCAGTACTACACACGTGATATCCGTCGCTTCCCGTTCCCCACCGAGGTCGGCATGCACCCGTCCATCCCTGTCGAGAAGCGCGCCGAGATCCCGGCGGACGCTAAACGCGGCTCTCCCGGTAACAAGAACCCCGCTGTGTTACGCTACGACCCCACTGGTACCCGCTCGGCTATGAGCACGACCCACGAGGCACGCGACAAGCTCATTCTGCAGCACGCCTCCACGCACAATGTGCGTTTCGAGTGGGAGGGAGATGCTGAGAAGGACATTCTCGAGGACCTCGAAGCCAAGAACCTGCCGCCCACGCCCGGCCGCCCCTTCGTCTGGGACTTCCCCTCTCAGAGCCGTGTCATGCGCTGGTAAATTGGGACTTATGGCATAATACGAGCGTGGTAAACTAGCATGCTGTCTTTGCTGGAGGAGCATTCCAGGGCAGCACGCACTGATGATAAGATGCCCATTTAACATGAGAAATTGAGCACAATCTGTGATTTGGGTCCACCGTTTGGGTCTATTTGAGTTTGGTCATGTTCATTTTGCGTCATTCTGCAAAAGTCAAGCCAAGAAGGATCACCGAGTGAAGAAGCTTGACGTCACCATGCAGTTCACCGTCATGCCAGAGCTTCCAACGATGCCTGCGCCCGAGGTGGTGGCCAAGACGGATCAATCCATCACGCTGCGTGTGCAGTCACCACCGCATGACGGAGACGCGCAGTACAAGCTGCAAGCGGTCGGTTACGCTCAAGTGTCTTCTCCATCCTATTTCTTATCTAACATTTATCATTCCTTCTGCACTGCAGAGTCACAGTGAGCACGGCTACGTCTATTACTCGTGGAATGACTCAGTGCTCTTCACAGGCAAAATGTTCCCCGTCAAGGGACTCAAGCCCAACACGGTGCGTCTTAAACTTCATTGTGTTATTATTTTTTCTTACGAATAACTACTATACAGACGTACGTGTTCCGAGTGCGTGTGGTGGACGAAGCCAAGCGCCAGTGTGGCGAGTGGTCGCCGCTCACGGCCTACACGCGCACGTTCACAGAGGAGGAAGACGCCAAGCGTTCGGGTACCGTATTCGAGCACGCGCTCAAGCTAGAACGCGAGCAGAAGAGTATCCTACAAGGCCAGATCTCCAAGCTCACAGGTATGCTAGATGAACGCAAGACGGCGCGCGAGAACGACAACAAGGTGCAGCAGCACGAGGACATGCTGGCCAGTCGCCGCGTCATCGACACGAGACTCGTGAAGCTGCAGCAGGAGCTCAGCTCGCAGACCGCGGCGCTGCAGACGATCAAGAGCCAACGAGCTGCAGACGAGCAGATGATCACGGAGCTATTGAACGAGCAGGAGAAGCTGCGAGCCACGCACAACGAGCAGCAGGGACAAGCCCAGTTCGAGCTGGAGATGCAGACACTGCGTGCTCAACTGGAGAAGAACGAGGAGGCGCTACGCAAACACCAGGAACAAGTGAATGCCAGTCATGAACAGATCGCGAACTACGAGACGTCGTTGGAGGCTAAGAAGACGGAGATCTCTCAGAAAGAAGAGGAAGTGGAGAGGATCATGGCCGACTGCAATCGCATGGTACAGGAGCAAGCCGATCTGGCCCACGTCAAGCAGTTGGAAGTGGAGGATGCTCTGCTGGAGGCCAAGACATCGTTGGAGCAACAGCTGGACATCAACACGTACTTGCGTGAAGAGGTTTCGCGTCTCCGAGAGGAGAACCACCACTTGAAGAACCAGATTGAAGAAGTGGACTCGGAAGTGGTGCCCAAGCTGGTGCGTCTCGAAGACGAGAACGAACAGCTACGTGCACAACTCAGTCGACGGTAGACAGCTGAGAACTCGATGGCCATAGCTTGACTGTGGCCTTGTTGGTCTGTCTGCCCATTATGTATACACACCGCCGTCGTGTGGCTAAATAGCTTATTGCAATCCATTCGTTCAATTCTTTAGTGTCCTAAAATCCCTCGTCTTCGTCCTCGTCGTCAAATCCACCGAGCGTGAAGGCATCGGCAGCACCAAGAGGAGGGAGTCTCGATGGCGGTGAACTGGCTGAGAGAGCAGGAGACGGATCAAACATGGTGCGTGACGGCAGTTGACGTCTTACTGGTGTGCGGTCTTCATCGACAAAGCCCTCGCCGTCGTAGGACGAACTAACCGACATGTTGCAGGACCGACTGAGACTGCCCATGTAGCTGTCAGCACGATACGAAGCGTTGGGTGCGCTTCCAGCCATACTCACGTCTTCATCGACGAGATCTTCTTCCTCTTCACTACCGTCGTCTTCGTCTTCTGCGTTCTCCTGCATCTGACGGATCGTGGCCTTGACAGATTCCAGCAACTCGCAGTTCTCACTTGATGTCGGATCAGCGTGTTTCCAGTACAAATACAACGGACCAATATACCGGAATGAGCGACGCAAGAGATAGGGATCGAACGGGAAGAACGTCTCTAGTGGTTGACGTTGACCAAGCAGCGTGGAGGCAGACGCTGATCCTGCTGTTGGTTTCTTTGAGCGCTCCATCGACTTAGCTGACTTGGTCGTCGACGCCGAGACTGTGCCAATAGCTTGGTCTACACGTTCGAGACACTCCTCGGAGACCAAATCGAACGCCTCCACCAGATTCAAGAACTCTGTTGCCACTGTTTGTTGACAATATGCCAGTGGACAGTAGCCGCTGCTTGTGACCAACAGCCGCTCCCAGCCAAGACTGCGCAAGAATTCGTAGCCGGCGCCATCGTCACTGGTAGCGATCTCCAATCCACGGAAACAAACCATGTAGCATACAGTCTGCAGTGAGGAAATAAAGATGCTTTCTTGGAAGCCACGCTCGCCTGTGGTGTGCATTTTCTCCGATTCCTCCAGCAATCGCTCGTCTCGTTCAGCAGCAGTCTCACCTTCTCTCTCCAGTTGTTCTTGATGTGCTACGTCGTAAATGTCCATCTGATCATGTAGCCACTTCAACAAGTGATACAGAGCCTTCTGAAGATAAGCCACGGAAATGTACTTGGCTCGAGCAAGGAAACTGGCCAGGTACGCACCACAGCTTTGACGTGTGGTTGGAGGCGTCTGAGGGTCCAGCGATGTGGCAAGAAGCTGCGAGATGAACACGTCCTGGAACTGCGGATCCATTCGACACACGTAGAACAGCAAGAACTGCGGATACTTGGACCGATGCGTGTTCAGAATGGAGTGTTCGAACACCTTGAGTAGGTACTTGAAGATCACAGCTGCTTGGCGAACGTCCACGTCTTTATCTCCATTAGCAGCTACAGAATCAGAGGACACCGATGCGGGCGACGAGGATGCGGCGCTTTGCTCGATGTGTTCGAACATGACGAGCATCATTTGGTCGAGTTTATCGGCCATCTCGTCCACCTGTCGCGAGGCGTCGTCAGGCGGCAACATGTCATCATCCAGGAAATCGTCCATTGTGAACATATCCTCCTCACTCTCGTCCAGCTTGATCTCCACGTCAATAGCCACTAACTGGTCAAGCACCAATCCCAGCACACGCTCGCGTAGTCCACTAACATACCCTGTCACACGCAGCACATTGCGCAGATACGCAACTTGAGTCGGTGCATCCATTCGCTTGTGCGGGAAGTGTTCGCATAGAATTGGGAACAGTACATTAGCTGCAGTAGGCACTAGTGTAAGTACACGCTCCAGAGTCTGGTGGGCTGCTTCGAATCGAGCCTGAATACGCTCGTCCAGACTCGGTCCTTTGGCTTGCTGCACTGGTTCTACCACGGGCGTCGGCGCCGCTACTGTATCGGCTCCAAAAGATCCTCCAATGGCGATTCCACCCGTTTTTGCGGGCTTTTTGGCCGCCTCCATCTCTTTGTTCTGCTCTGTCTGGGCGAGCGCTCGGAGGTCTGGCGGTAACTCCTTTTCGTGAGGACGACGCATGTTACGCACCAGCATATGTAGTGTGGGTACTACATAGACGGTGTTAGAGGACACTAGATGCACGATGAAGCTTGTGTAGTCCTCGACCTCGAGTGGGTCGCCACTTGCCAACAGGTCGAACTTGAACAAAACGTCCAACAGCGCGCGGTAAGCCTTAGGCTCACGTGCCATCGTTGAGATGCAGCGCGGGAGAGCGCGGAAGATCTTACGACGCGTGGCGATCGGCGGCGGCACGAGTGTCAGCTGCTGGATGAGGTAATGGTAGCTCTTAGCATTGCCCTGCGGAAGAAGTGGTTAGACTGTGGGCTAGAGTGCAGCTAATAAGGTGACTGCACCTTGATCAGCAGGTCCAGCGCATTCTCGATGAAGTGGTGCATGCTAGCAACCTCCTCCTCGGTCGGAGAGGCCGCCACTGGCAGCGCCGAGGGCAGCGTCGTCGCGCTTCCAGCCATTTCCGAGCTATTTGGATAAATGCGCCGTTTGAGTCAATTATTCACTGGTTGCAGCTAAGCGATTGGTGAAAACTCATGTAAAATAATACGATTGGATGAAAATTGTAACGTAGTGTCTAAAATATTGGCATTTTACGGTACGACGTCTACGAGCGGATCTGTTGCTGCTCGCTCTGGGCGGGTAATTGGCCGGGGGCGTCGAACCACACACCGAGCGGGTGTTCGGATGTTCCTTTTGGAGGCAGCACGTTGGGCGGACCAACGCTGCTGAGGATGCTGCGCATTGTGTCGACGTCGAGTCCATACTTGTCTGCGAGTACCTCGTGTGTCCAGCTCTGGGGCTTCTCGTAGTGGAGACGCAACAACGTCCGTAGGTCTCTCGAAGTCAAGCGGCCGCGAATTTCCTCCTCGTCTATGCCTCCGATGCCCGAGGAAGACGCAGCGTTGGTCTTGTCGGTTGGAAGTCGCACAGGCTGCGATGATCGTGGGCGGTGGCTACTGGCGGTGGCCTCAAAGGCGCGTGTACTCTCCTCAAGGAACTTGACGCGGTCAAACTCCTCGATTTTCTGAACGTCGTCCAGCATTTGCGTCTGCATCTCCATCAATTCCACGTGCGAACCATGCGAGTCGATTGGCGCCGCCGACATCTCGACGGCTGCTACCTGGGTCTGCGCCGGGAGCTCGGCGGCGGCGCCATGGGACAGAGCGACCAACTGCTCCAGCGACACGTTAGTGCGGATCACACGGCTACGCGAGGCCGACGCGACAGCCGCCGGGGTCTTGCTGGCAGTGGCTCCCATGTCGGATAATGTGCTGTGTGTTAAACGAGCGGTGGAAAGACTCGTACTTAGCCGAAATTCTGGTGGTGCAACAAATTTCAAGAGTTTCTGGGTATTTTTCACTTGCTTTGTCCTATTTTTCTTTTATCGATTCCACGACTACAATATTGCTCCCTATCGAGCGGTTCGTACGGGTGGGTATCTGTGCTGAATGTCAAAGAGCTGCAAGTTCTCTGCTAGTGATGCGTTTTCTCACTGCAGGTGTCGGTGTTTGTTCTTGGTCGCGTCGTCTTCGTCTTTTAGATGCCAGTTGATAATGGAGAGGTAGGGTAGGTAGTCTTGTGCTGTTTCGGGGCAAGCGACCTCCATAATTTCGCTGCATAGCGACTTGTATCATGGTCGTTCAAGAGAATTCGCTCTCCCAGCTTCTTCACCTGCATCACATCTGCCACCTTCGTTGTTGATGCCCAGAGTCGGTCACCCAGTCACCTCTCTTTTGTGTTCGTTGAATCAACGAGATCGATAAAGCAGCCGAAATGTGGCGAGCTCTACGGGTTGAAGAACGAGTTTGGCTGCTGATGAGTTCCCATTGAAGCAGCTGCAAAACCTGGAGGAGGGCGTGTCGGAATCCGCGGAGGTGACGGGTCCTGCGTCTCGGTCTGAGTCGATGGCGTCGATGAGCCCAAAAACGCGCTCAAGCTCGAAGTTCTCTGCTGATACAGAGCGGATTCGCGCTCTACAGCAGCCAAGTCCGCCATGGGGGCAAAGGGTCGACTATTGTCGACGCGGTTGCTACCTAAACCAAGACCCTGCGGTCCTCCGGAGGTAAAGTCGGTGCCCTGTCCGCTGAATGGCATGCCGAGACCTAGGCCGGGGTTGTTCCCCAACATACCGGTATTGTTGTTGCCAGTCGTACTGTTTCCCCATCCAGATAGCAGAGACTGGCTGGAAAAGCTCCCAGCATCGTTAAACGTGTTGAAACTTGGATAACCCAGTGACGTACCAAAATGACCGTTCCCAGCACCAAATGCATTGCTTTGGTGATTAAAGCTGGCGTGTTTCTGGTCATCTGCAGGTGAGATCGGACTCAGAGCTCGAAGGCTGAAGGCACTTCCACCAGCTAGCGAATCCAAAGGAGGAGCGTATCCCCCGTACAGCTTGGTAGACTGGTTCTCCGACATTCCTCTTAGCCCTGGCGACGGCTGGAACACGATCACTTCGTCGTCGAAATCGTCGTCCTCATCCACGCCAGTTCCAACACTGTAACCATTACCGAGTGGCTGCGTCTGCTGTTGATTGCTGCTCTCGGACGACAGAAATCCAAGGTTTAATGAAGCAAACGCTTGTTGCGTGCCATTATCCTGTTGAGTATTTTCCTTGCCAACAACCGGTGAAGTCGTGAACTGGCCCGACGCACCACAGAAGAGCAGCGGATTTCCTTCGTAGCCATTGCACAAGTAGCACGCGAAATGATACAACTTCCACGCACGAACTTTCGCGGCTTCAGCGTCCGCCAACGGTGTCACCTGTGACGCACTATTCGCTCCTGTAGCAGACGTTTGCAGCGCCCATTCGTCCTGCCACGTAGACTTCACTTCATCCTGTTCCAGTGGCGCAAACCCTCGAAGTTCGAGACTCTCCTTCAGTAAATGCTGTTGCTCACTTATAGCAGATGGTACCTCGTCGGAATTTCGCCCTGCCCCCCCTACCAACGGAGCGTATAGTCCACGAACACGAGCATGGTTGACCAGTTTCGTCAAAGTTTCAAGAAAAACCGAAGCGAACTGATCTGCGCCAGTTCCCTGGTTACTCGTAGCCACATCACTATAGAGTTTCTTCTGACGATGCACCAAAAGCTGTTCTAGTTGCTCCAGCATATCAGGATGCAGCTCCAGGTAGTCATAAAACACCGTCACAGGGCCTACAAGTCGAAATGCCGAGAGTGCTGGATCCTTCGGCGCTTTCCCATTGGCTGCAGCCGTCGGTTTGATGTCCAAGTTGTCCAAAAGGAACTCCATAACACTCGTAATCGTTCGAATCGAGAGACGTAGCGCATCTTCGAGGGGGGAACTTTGTGAGCGCGAGTCTGAGGCTCGAATGATGCAGAAAATGTTCGTCACCACGATCTTCAGCAGCAACGCATCACCGATTACACCTGCATGCAGCAACGTCCTCATGTCCTTGAACAGTACAGCCTCCATGTCTCGCGGGTACACTGGCATCGATGACTCGCTGTTGCTACGTGAAGCTGTCGGCGATCCACGTGGCGATGAGAGCGCGAACAAGATGCCATGCATCCGTGTCAGACGGTGCAAATAGCTCTTCAAGAACGCCGACTTCTCCTTCGACGATGGAGACGACGATGTAAACGTGATCGGAGCCGCCAATGGACGTTGGCGACTGCGTTCGAAGAGCAGGGCGAGATTCTCCTCCGCAGTCGTGAACGGCTGCGAGGTCAATAAACTGCGGCAGTACCGGTACACTGCCACAGTCTCCGCCTCCACGTACGTGGCCAATACTGCCAATTGGTTGTGCGGATTGCCATTCTCCGGCAGTACAGCCAACGCGCGATGGTACAAGGCTTCAGCTGCTGCAAAGTTCTTCTTAGCCTTTTGGCTATGCAGCTCCCGATAGCGCGCCAAGTCTCCTAGGAACACGTAGCAGTGGTGCAAGCTCTGACGACAGCGTACGATGGCATCAATGTCGTCCTGAGACGTCTGCAGCCACGAGGCGAATACGTCTCTTAAGTGCGCGTAGAAGGCTGCGGATTCGGTCAGGAACTGCTGGAACTCGCTGGACACACGCGCAAAGTGTTCGCGAACGTTGCGGTCCGTCTGTGCTGCTGTCGCATACTTACGAATGCGTCGACGGAAGTCCTCAATGCGGCGATAGAAGCAGGGCTTCCACAGCGCCTGCTCCACCTCCTTGTTAGCTGCAAAGGCCGGGTGCGCATCCGCCAGGCGCGTTGCGGCGTCCATGAGCCGGCGACGCAGCGCGTTGGCATCCTGAGCGTTGAGCGGGTTGGCGCGCAGCAGATCCCGCAGCTGCTTGTCCAGCGCCACCAGCTCCCTGTAGACACAGAGGGAGGATTAGTGTGGGTGGAGAGAGAGGGCGGGAATGCGGGCGTACATGTAGGCGCGGCGCGGGTCCATGGCGACTTGGTGGCCAAGGAAGGTGGCTCAGCTTTGAGGGCGTTAACAAACAGGTCGAGCATGTCGGTTACATTTGAAGACTAAATCGCAAATGAATCGGGACTATTTCCCATATGTTGGTCTATTTTTTCTGGTATTTTAGCAATTTTGCCGACAGTTTAGGGTCCCTATTTGGACTTGATGCTTTTCTAATTGTGTGTTTGATAGCACAGTGTTGTGACAGTAAACTAGCTGAGCATCACTCACTGCCCACCCGTGCCTTTTGTTGAAGTTTGCAGTGCGTGAAGACTACAGGACAATTTGTGTGGTTAACAAGCTGGGAGGCGCTTGCGTGTGTGATGTACAATATGGTTGGTAGTACACAGCTTTAGGCTAACGTTAGATTCGTGAAAGCTGCACGACGAGATCTTCCCGTGTCTTGTTCATACGGCAGCTCAATTTGGATTGAGATAATTTTTTACAAATTTTGACAAATACATCACAGCACGCATTTCTAGGGAGTTTGACAGCTCCCCTCGTTAATGTTGACCTCTACCTGCTTAAATGCCCCAAAAGGTTCCCTCGACACTGACGCTGCGTGAACTTGTGAAACAAATGAAGTGGACTTCTGGCATAAACTTCACGGGCAAAAACGATGCCGCGTGGAAAGCCCGCATCAGGATGATGCTCCAAGCCATAGGACTATGGACCATCGTGACACTGGAAGAATAGTACTTCTGGACGCGCGAACATGAGGCTGCAGCTTTCTTGGTGACGACTCTTTCGGACGAGATGGTAGTCGCTGTGAGTAGCAAGCGCTACCTACGAGAGTTTTTAACACCGGGAAAAGACGTACGAGGTCGCAAATGAGGTAATTTGTGCACACTTTGAGATCAGTTTGTGCGACTAAAGTACAAGGACGGTGCTGACATGTTGACTCATATCAACGAGTTTAGATTTTTGGCTGGGCAGCTCGCAAACCAAGGCTAGGCCGTGGACGATGCAGAAAGGGTCTGCCAGTTGCTTAGCGGTTTTTTTCCAGTTCGTGGGAGTCCACTAAAAGCATTTACTACATTCAGGAGACCCCCATTGCCTGGCCATCCATGGAGGTTAACGTGGTGGCGGAGGCCACGCAACGTAATACAGTTGGCAACACCTCGGTGGTCGGAGCTGTGAGAGAAGTTACCAACCCAGAAGCAAACGCAGTGACTCGCCAAAAAGGCCATCGGGCTGGTGGCCGCCGTCGCTCAGCCAATCACAATGAAGATGGTCATTAAGGTCAACGAACCCAGTAATGAAGAGAGAGTGGTCTCGGCAAGCGAGAGCGTGGAACAGATGATGGAGGTCGCTACTGTCACCAGATGGGACGCGTCAAGGCTGAATATCCGCTGTGGAAATGCCACCGCACCGAAGCTAAAGCAGGTAGTGCAAAGTCCGCTTTACCTGGTGTTAGCGCAGTCTTGACTGACGAGACAAAGGCAGAAATTAGTGAGCAAATTTCGCAGGCGACTACACTTGCAGACGTCTGGGGACTGACAGGGCTTGTGGGAAACCCAGACTCAGAAGAATCTGTCGCTTTTGATACATCCACAGAACCAATCATTGACAGTGACGGTACAGAGGAATACCTCAAAGATCCGGATTTTTCTTCTATGGTAAACGCGTACTGGACGTGGCCGTTCAGCCCTGACAATCGCGGCGTGTATGTGACTTAGGTCTCCATAGGTTCTTTGGTAATAGCCACAGCAACAGCAGCAAGTGTTGGCAGTAATTCTATCTGGATCATCGACGGCGGTTGTTCGTTGTGTATCAGCATTCCAAAGAACAGCTTTGAAGATTTGCGACCGTGTGGAGGCGTCGTAACTGTGACCAACAAGCCCATGGCTGACATAGAGGGAGTTGATACCGTTAAGTGATACATTCACCCAAGCGGGGGAAGCTTACAACAGTTGGTGTTAAGTGATGTGCTGTAGTACCTTCCAGGACTTTGCAAGAATCTGATCTCCGTAACGCAGCTGGCAAAGAAGGGTATTCATTTTTCTCTCCGTCCCTGGCAAGGTTACTATCAAGCGTGGTCATCTAAGTATTACGAATGAGAGTGTGAACAGCCTGTGTGTGCTAAAGACTATGAACAAGTCTCAGTTGGCCCTCTATGTTTTCCTGGGCTTGCTAATGATCTCGCTCACCGTCGTTTTGGACATGCAAGCTCGCCGGTTATGGAGCAGATGCTGCACACTAGTGACAGGCCTGTGTATCGTACCAACAGCACATAACCGTCAAGCGCCATGTGACGCGTACAAAGCGATGGAGTTCACTCCCTCCGTACCGCGCCCAGATGTCATGGAGTGTAGTTCCGTCGTTTACAGCGACATTTGCAGTCCACTGGGGCTACCCTCGCCGCAAGTAAAGCGGTACGCGCTATTGTTTGTGGATGCTTATTCCCGCTATTGTCATGTCTATCTGCTTTCTCGACGCTTCGAGCTCATCAAAACACTTGGAAGGTTCTTGATTGCTCCAGCAGAACAAGTGTTGCTTCCTGTCATGTTACCTTTGACGAAATTTGTCCCAGCTGCTCATGAACTTCGCCGTCAGGACTTTCGATTATTATGTGGCCGTCTTGCGGTGCATTTCAACTACTTCCTCCGGAATGAAATGATTGAAGAATGTTGTATGACAGTGAAGGAGTTCCATGCAGTCAGTAAAGACAATACAAGAACTAATATCGATTTAGACGGAAATACACTATAAAGTCACTAAAACAAGAATGGTCTACCTGCCTTCTTGAGGATGGCAAGAGCGCCAGTGTAAGTCTCGCGGTCGCACTCAAGACTTGTAGGTAGTTTGACTTCCCGTCTAAGCCTTGCCTTACCAACATGAGGTATTTTGTACTTGTTGCTGCCGAGAGAGCACTCCATGCATTTCTGCAGCGTAAGAAAAATATGGTCAAGAATATCTGCATTCATTGCCTTGTATGCATCATCCACAGCCTTAATGCAAGTCTTGTTGCCATAAACTGTTTTTTTAAGCTGGAGAGCCTGCAGTGAAGCAAATAGGCCCAGATCCAGCGCGTTAGTCTCAGGTGAATTAGCCGGGCGAAAGAATAGTCGGATGTTCCAGCCGTCAGCTGTCCCAGCGGCTACGATGTCGGGGTCACTTGGAGCAATATGTGGCTTCAAGTTGTCTTGCTGAATCAAAATGACATTCTTTCGCTTTTGACAAGGCCACTTCAACTTGACTGCTGGTATAACATAATCCAGCAGGTAGCCTTTGTAGACTTCGCGAATGGTAGAATCAATATTCCGAATTCACCTCTCCACGGGCACGGTACTTGCTTCGATGAAGTGCTTTATATTTCTCGGTAAGTGGTCATAACCCAATTTTACCGTCCCATTGTTGTTTCCTGTGTGATTCCCATCTACAAAAAAAAACAAATATCAGTTATAACGCAATATTTGTTGTTAAAAATATATGATTACAGAGTAATTACCGTGGACGTGCCGCTGCAGCGAGGAACATCGTCTTCAGAATGTGATTTTTGCTCTACCTGCTACGCTGCAGAGCGGTTTCGCCGTCAAATATAAAGCACGAGCGTGTATTGTCGTCTTCGTGAAACCACTTCTCATCAACGTGCACTATGTCATACATGGGCTCAAACATGAGCGTCGTGGGACCGATGAATGTGGGCGCATGTTCAATACGTCGATGCTTGTTGTCGCCCGATAGGTATGGCTTAATGCGAGTGGAATGCACCTTGAGGACACCCTCACGGATCAGCGCTTGTACTAGATGCTTAGAGATGCCAGCCGCGTCGGCATGCCTCCGGTACGGCTTCCTCTCTTCAACTGGGACAGCTCGAATCCTAGCAATTTCGGCTCTGTCTTTCGTCTTTCTACCCGACTTCTGCTTGATACAACCCTTCCACTCTCCAATACCCACTTTGGCTTCTGTTTCACGGTAGTGACTTCATATCCTGTCTATAGAGGCATCGGATAAGCTGAATTCTCTCGCGACGTTTGCTTGGACGTTCAGCAGCAACTTGCCACTCACACTCCGCTTTAAAAGATCGTCCAGGATTCGATGGCGTTGATCATCAGTAAGGTTTGGCTGTAGCATACTTTCAGCATGCTTGGAGCGGTTATCTTGATGCAGCGGAAGGAAAAAGAAAATGGTGATGTGAGTGCATCATCTTGGCAGGCCATTGTTCAGGGAAGTCACCAGCTTGGCAGGTCATTGCTCGGGCTACAGAAGTCGGATTGAACCGCGGTTTACTACAATCGCTGGCTGAAACGCAAAGCTTTATTTTGACCAATTGGCTTAGAATTGAGCGTAATGTTGGAAAATTGAGATCGATTTGCGTACAGATCTTTCAATCCTTTCATTCCGGAGGAAGTATTATCGGTCTAGAATTAGCGAACCTGATCTGCTATATTACAGTCGCTTACATTCCTTTGCAAAAACCAACAGCAACGGATTTTGCGCACATCTAAGCCACTATCAGATAGTTCGATATGAAAAAGGTTACTCTTGTGCACATCCCACTCAACGACATCACCGATTCGTGTTGCACCAAATTGAAACCCTCTTGCTTCGGGCGTCGTCTTAGCTAGCTGTACTTCCGTCAACGATGGACACTCCAGTCGTCAACGATGGACACTCCAGTCGTCAACGATGGACACTCCAGCTGGACACTCCAGCTGGACACTCCAGCTCACATATGACCTTTTGTCGTGCCTCGATATGCCTGGAATTGGAATCGATGAGCAGTCGGCTGCGATGG